CACACCGGTTTAGCGTAGATAAACCAATTCAGCCCCAATTACACAAGTTACAAGATTTAGGGGGTTTGGGATGTATATTTGCCCTATATTAGAAACCTTGTTCCTCACTCTACGTTTTGTTCCTCATATTCAGAGAATAAATGAGGTTGGTGATTTTATTTTAAACGTGTAAATTTCTCCTCCGAATTCTTAACTGGTGTTTGATTGGAGAATATTTACGTTCTAGATTAAAAGACCTAATTACTGCGATTTTGTTTTTCAAGATTTTGATATACTGCTTGTGCTTATCTTGTAGTCTAGGTTTTTTCAATTTAAATTAACTAAAATACTTATATCAACATCTTCCTAAACTCATTCTCGACACCATGTTTATATGTGTGGAGATTATACAACGAGATGGTATTTTCGGTACAGGGGATTTTTATTCGTCATCAAATGATTAATTTAAATTTACAAAACGCACCCCGCAGGTTCATCATGAATTAGTGTTGATGAATAATTTTATAGAAATCATTGTAACATTATTATAAAATATATTATTTTAAGACGTTTTCATTTTGACATTGATATTTTCTAGTCCTAAAACTCTTCTTCCACAAGAACAAACCGATATAGTAATCCTACAAGTTGGTGGTACGCACATGGGCACATCTTCTGCATATTATACACAAGTCTAATCATATGTAATCTCTATAACAACCAAACTTCCAGGTACGATTGACCCAACAATATTTACGAAATGCTGTACATCTGTATTAATTTATATGGTTAAACAGTTTTGTTATAGTATCAACATGATGTTCGAGAGTAGGTCATATGTCTGTGCGAGAGAGACTTGTAGCCTACGTCATATATATATCATATATAGGACTTCGATAGGAGATGCATGAGGAGTGGAATGCTTAAGAGAGAGAGGATTTCTAACTCAGAGAGTGTTTATCAATCGTCTATATTTTAGATGTTATATACGAATGAGAGAGCTCGTTGAAGAGAGTTAAGCTATATTCATGTACATATGATCTACTCGCATGACTCGCAGCGTGTTTGATTATTCTATGACGTAACGAGGGGTAGGATATTCACAGAGAGTTCTTTGACGCGCACATAGTGGTGATTATTGCGCGCACTAGTTGGGCGTAGAAATAGTGGAGTGCACACTTCTCCTGATGTGGCGAGCGAGAGTGTATGACCTGAGAAGGGTATGGTTGCCGTCTGGGAGCAGCTATGGTAGATTCGTGAGAATGAAGCAAATATGATCTACGAGTGTGTGGCACGCTCGGAGAGCTAAAAATATTCACACGAACAAAAATATGGAAATCCTACGAGTTAGTGGTATGCACATCTTGTATATTCCACAAGTCTAATCATATGTTATCTGTATGACAACCAAACTCCCACGTAAGACTGACTTAACAATATTTATTAAAATGTAACATACTCCTATTTGAATAGTTTAACAGTTTTGTTTAAAGCCAACAAATCATGATTAACCATATTCTCTATAATCCCAAGAAAATGAAGAAGATGAATTCACCATATTCTTAAATTCTCTCTTAACATTTCCACTTTCTTATACATCTCTTTATCATATACCTCTCGTATATCATCTGCATTAGCTTCAGACGACTCCACGTGAGTTTTTGACTTTCTCTGTTCAAAGACGTTCTGAAACAATGGAGAAGGACAATAGCAACAAGATTCTCTCGGAAATAATTGATTTCCGCCAACTCAAGCACACGAATTCCCCGGTAATAGTCTCTCTACCGCCATTTTCGCGGATCGCGGTCATAATATCTTCTACATAATGTATATATGTTTGATACTTTTAAGTTTTAACTCGATGCATTTGTCTTAATGTCCATATTTCATATTTGTATGTTTTGTTGTAGATGAAGGTTAGATATATACAAACACACTACAAAGATGTTTATGAACAAATTAGTTTTACCAACATAATAAACCTTTTTTTTAAAAAAATAAGAATGTTTAGAACATTATACAAATAAATTTGACCATAAAAAAATTACTTGTAACCGCAAGTTTCCTGTAACCTAATAAAATTACTTGCAACCTACGGCAACTCAACTCCTACTTCTATAGGGAGTAGGAACAACTGTTCAATGGATTTAATTTTCAAGAATATCACTGATACAATCTTACTCCATGTGGAATTAGGAAACGATGAACATATATACGACTTATATAAATTACCTAAGAGATAGCAGCCACAAACAATCTCTCACAAACTCTTAACTCTGTATACAGCGTAAAGCTAAGAAGGACATCGAACAAGAGTTCAATCACAGGATTAAGATGCGAGCAAGGAAGCTACCGATGTTCGCAGTCTTCGTGGTTTGTGCTGTATTGTTTCTGCTCTACATGGAATCTCCAGAATCTACTGTCCCTGACAATAAACCAACGTTCAAACCAAACATGCCTCTTCCCAGAACCATTGGTCCCATCAGTACAAGTAGTAGTAATAGTAGTAGTGTTGTTGTTTCGGTTCCAAAGGAAGAAAAAGAGGAGCTAGATCCATTGGTACCTCCTCCTAAAGCTAGCAAGAGCGAGAGAATCGAATGGTTCAGAAGAAAGCTACCGGAGCTTGAGATACTTAAATCCACAAGGAAGAGCAAGAGATTCCATGGAAGAGTTTTGGAGCTGTACAACAAGAACTGCTCAGCTCAATTCTTCATGATTTGGCTCTCTCCGGCAAACTCCTTTGGACCAAGAGAGATGTTAGCTCTTGACACTCTCTTCACCACAAACCCTAATGCTTGCTTGGCGATTCTCTCAAACTCTCTAGACTCTCCCAAAGGATACACTACCCTCAAACCATTGCTTGATCAAGGCTTCAACCTCGTCGCTCTAACACCAGACATCCCTTTCCTCGTCAAGAACACTCCTGCGGAAGCTTGGCTTAAGAAGCTCAAGAGTGGTAAAATGGATCCTGGCTCTATCCCTCTCTTCATGAACCTCTCTGACCTAACGAGACTCGCGGTGCTTTACAAGTACGGAGGAGTCTATCTAGACACAGACATCATCTTCCTCAACGACATGACACGACTCAGAAACGCAATCGGAGCACAGAGCATGGATCCAGAAACCAAAACATGGACAAGGCTAAACAACGCAGTGATGGTCTTTGACGTTTACCATCCGCTCATGCGCGAGTTCTTGCGAGAGTATTCAACAAATTTCGACGGATCCAGATGGGGACACAACAGTCCTTACCTAGTCTCTAGAGTCATCAAGAGATTAGGAAGCAAACCTCAGTACAAAGTCAGAATCTTTCCGCCGGATGCTTTTTATCCGGTGAATTGGCTTAAGATCTCGAGGCTTTTCAAGAAACCTGCAACCACAGGAGAAGCGAACTGGGTGGAGAAGACAGTGGAGGACATGAGCAGAGAGAGTTACGTGATACATCTGTGGAACAAAGTCACAAGGAAGATGGAGATTGAAGAAGGAAGCGTCATGCACAGACTCATCTCCACTCACTGCACAGTCTGCGGCAACATCACAAACTCTCAATCTGTATAAGTAGATTCTTGTGTTTGTATAAACTTTGCTTTACGTTTTCTTTGTAAAACTCAATTAGTTTCCTCTAAACAAGTCGAATCTAGACTCAATCACACAAAAGTTGATTCCATCAGAGCAAGTGAATAAGAAACGAAAGAGCAGATTTTTCATAGAAAGAAAAGAAATTGGAGATGATGTTTAACAATTACAACAAAGAGTCGCAGCAGAATTATCAAATACAATTACAGTGATATGAAGTGAAGCTTTCTAATTAGAGAAGAGAGACTCGTCGATGTCGATTTTGATCTTCTCGTCGTTCTCAAACTTATCCTTCCTCGGAGGAGCAGGAGGGACCGGTACTCTCTCCGGCCCTCTTCCCTTCTTCTTGTTTCGTGGCCTCGCCTGCTCAAATTCCCCAAAAAATTCAAAAACAAAATTCGAATTCGCTTTATGGAAATCGAAAGAGGGAAATTTGATACTTACGTTTCCGAATGAGTGATTGAAACGCTTTCCTTTCGCTGTTTTGCGGTCACCTCTGCCACAGTACACTGTTGACCGGAAAATTCACGCCGTTAATTGAAGAGAGAGTGAGATAAAGAGGCATTATGATTGGGAGTGAAGGAGAGAGATTACCAAGTGGAATTGAGCTGGATGATGAGGAAGCGGAGAGAGACAATTGCTGAGTGAAGCAGGAGAGAGAGACACCGACAGTTTCCGAGTGAGATGATGATAACCGAGAGCAAGATGCGGAGAGAGATGATACGACGGAGACTCGCGGAGGAGCACCGAGTAGAAGCGACGCCATCGCCGTGTTTGCTCTTATCGTCTGCGTTTGAGTGTATTGAAGAAGATAAGGTCGCGAAAGTTGAAATGCGTTTACCGTTTTAGGATAGGCTTTTCGTTATCTGATGTTGTTTTGAGACAAATTATTTTTTGCTTTTTTGGGCTTTAATTTTTGATAATTTCTTTGTTGGGCTTAATTAAAGCCCAAATCTATCCTCAAACCCTACACGCTTGTCACGTGTAATCGACCTTCTTCTTCCTCTTCTTCGTCTTCCTCTCTTCGCGTTAGCTTCTTCAGACGTCACACAATCGCAACATTTAAATCTTCACACAGAGCTATTCGGTATTTGATCTGTATTGCTGAACAGGCATTTCACTAATCCCAATCGCAGAAAATCGGTACACTCTCTTCTCTCTGATTTCCTAAATCCTTTAAAACTCTATTTATCCCAAATCGTTTGATTTACTGATGACACATAGTCCCATAGATTCCGCTTCAGCTGTTAATTGAGCTATCGTTGCTTGCTTCTCAATTTCTCATCAAAACACCCGAACTTTCCAATTTCGAAACAATCAATTCAATCTCAATCCCAGAAAACCGATTCAATTCCCAACTAATTTCCGCTTTATCTTCTCTTCTCAACTTTGCAGTAAGTGTACAATTCAGCATCTGAATCACTTCTTTTGCAACTTTCTTTCCAATGGAGAAAAGTATAGAAGAGAAAGAGGAATTCGACGAGTCTGAGATTGAGTACACGAGCTACGCCGGCGAGCATCACCTGCCGTTGATTATGTCACTAGTCGACCAAGAACTCAGTGAGCCTTACTCCATCTTCACTTACCGTTACTTCGTCTACCTCTGGCCGCAGCTCTGCTTCCTGGTAATTCCATATATCTATCGTAAATTGTCATGCTTTAATGGATTTGATGAGTGAAACCTTTCGTTCTTTTGTCGAAAAAGGCGTTTCACAAAGGTAGATGCATAGGAACCATAGTCTGTAAAATGGGAGAGCATCGACAGACTTACAGAGGTTACATCGCCATGTTAGTCGTAATCAAACCTTATCGTGGCCGAGGCATAGGTACTTTCCACAAGCTTCCTGTCATTATGATCTTGTTTTGAATCCAATGCAAAGCCAGCCATTGCCTCTCTTTCAAGTTTGGATATTGTTGTTGTGTGCTAAGTTTTCGTTGTGGTTCACAGCTTCAGAGCTTGTGACAAGATCAATAAAAGTGATGATGGAATCAGGTTGTGAAGAGGTATGCTTCTCTTGCATTTTCACTTCTCTCTTTCTTCTGCTCTCTTAAGAACTTAGATACATTATGGTGGTGCTAGAGTGATATATGTAGTACATGGCTCCTTATAGTCTTATTATGCACATTGGTGTGTAACTGAAATGTCAATTTGAAATCTGAAATCTCTGCTGTATCTATTGAGTAGTGAGTCTACATTACAAAAAGTATCTCTTGAGTGGCATTTGCTCTCTGTGAGGTCCTTCTCAGAGTCAAAGTCTGAGTAATGAACAATGTGTGTGAATGAAGGTAACGTTGGAGGCGGAAGTGGATAACAAAGGAGCGTTGGCTCTATATGGGAGGCTAGGGTTCATAAGAGCCAAACGGCTACACCACTATTACTTGAATGGGATGGATGCTTTCCGGCTCAAGCTCTTGTTCCCTCTTAAGCCTCGTCTACCTCAAATAGCTTCTCAAGATCAAACCCAGCAAGAGCAAGAGAATTTTACTGCATAACATGGTCACTTTCCTCTCCTTTGAGGCCATGGGAAAAAAATTGTTTTGTATTGCTTATGTGTATTAATGTTTTGTTTCGTATAAAGAATATTTAGATGTTGGTATATTTCTTGCCTCCATATGCATAAAGTATTCTCAAATGTGTGAGAGAAAAACACAAATGTCGAATTCTTTTTTTGGTAAAGAAATTACCAATTTTTTGTTAGTGACATAAAAAAACGAGCAGAAAGTTCGGATAGTGTAGTAAAAAGTCTCATAGCTAAAAGTCAAATCTCAAACTAATATTTTCATACCTCGATGTAGAAATACTATCAAAACTACCGTATCATCTTTAAAATATTAGTATCTGTGATTTGTAAACCATGTTAGCTAGATTTTCGGGTATCTAACTTTCAGATTGTCCATCTTCCGCCGATAAAAGTCTCAATTATATAGCAGAAAAAGAAGAAAAAAAAAAAAACAAATTGTCTCAAAAACTCACATGGCCAAAATCAGAACAAATTAAAGACGATTCACCACTAGCCACATAGTTATGGCTATTTGACCCACTCACATAGTTACTCCAACCTTCGTAGCGGGTCCCGCTCCATATCCGCAGTTCACTCACATTCACATTGTGCCACTTTCAAATCTCAGTTTATTTTTTCCTCTAAAACGACTATATGCTATTAGAAGAAATAATTTTGTAAAGCTCTTTATTATAATTTTATACAAAAGAAAAAAGTCAGATGGGAAGTACAAAATCGTCACTGGATTCAAACGAGAATATTAGTTGATAATACAGAGAGAGATTTTTTTTCTTTCCAAAGTACATGTGAAACCAGAGCATATGATAAGGGTAACGATTGAGTAATGTATGAAAGGAAACACATGCCATATTTATTAAGAGAGACAAGAACGGTCCTCTGATCCATACTTTCAAGTGTCTGATCAGAGAGAGAAGGAGTGAGAAGTAAATAATGGCACGTGACTGAGACGAATATGCCACGTGCGTCCCCTCCCCCACACCCATGTGGCCATTGGAAATGACCGGTTCCGCCGGTACAACTTGTCCATTTTCCCTATTTAAATCAATCCCAGTCTGCTTTCATTTCCCATTTAAGTACAGATTTTTTCTTTTGGTAAATCCCATTTAAGTGAAGTTTCAAAATATATCATCCTATTTTACTAATTTTTTTCGAAAAATAAATGTCATTTTACAATTTTTATGTGCAAATATTAAAATACAAGGATCTGGTTTCTTTTTTCTTGAGATATAAATATTTTATTCATGAATTAGAGTTGACAAAAATACGAATTTCTTTTTAAGCATGTACTTACCAATAAAATAAGGAGTGTTATGTGTTGTGTTACTAAAGCCAAGTAAAAGAAGAAGTCGATACATTTTTTAGCCTATAGCTGTTTTTAACAATACCCAAATTAAGAAACCACACACTACTATATTATCGACCTAAGGAGTGAAAACAAAAATACAAAACCCCGAAAAAAAAGAAAAAAATTAAGAGCTTAAGCACGCATTAAAAGGGGGATGTGTAATAAGTACACAATTTTCGTGACTTTTACTCCCTGACGTATACGAACAACAAAACACAAAAAAAAGAAGAACAAATCATTTTTAAAATAACTCCACAAAAGCATTAGACCCTGGCTAAGATCTCTCAAAGGCGGTGATGTAAAGCGGAAACCGGAGCATGAGCGGCGGCCGCAGCGGCTGCAGCCGACGGTTTACATTGGTAACACTTGGCAAAGAGACCAAAAGTGTCGACTTGACGTACAAAGTTGGTAACACTTGCCCATCCACCGAATCCAAACCCGACAATTAGAACCCAAACCACAACGAAAGCGTTCAACACGTACATCGCCGTCCAGCTCGGCATGAAGAACGGTGGCTTCTCCGCCGCATTCTACAAGAAAAATCCAAAACAAAAATCAAGAACCATTGATGAGAGAGAGGGATAGAGGGAGTGTGCTTGTGTGTGTGTGTGTGTGTGGGTATTGTCGTGTAGTAATGGACAAAATCCAAAGCTTTGTTGACCCATGAGAGGGAGAGAGATATGATTGTGATTTGTCATACTCAGACTCTCACTTTAGATTGATGTTAGGCAGAGAGTCCCTATTGTACAGCTACTTTTCATTCCTGATTATGACTCTTACCTATTCCTCTCCCTTATTTTCCTCCCAAATCATCTCTTTTTTTCTCTACTGTTAGTATATAATATACGCACGATTAAAAAAAAACAAAAGAAGATTCCTGGTCAATTACTAATTCTAACCTAACCAGAAAAAAAAATCAAGAAGAGTTTGGACTTCTACTTTTTAAAAGCATAAATATAAAAAGAAGCAGTGAGCTGAAACCAACTCAATAAATATTTGGAGGGGACGCCAGTAAGGAATGTGGGTGATGATCCTATCTTCCGTAAGATACGGAACACTGAACCCCATCTATCTTTATCCAAAAAGACGTTTATACCCCTCTAATCTCAATAATCTTTTTCACAACCCTACCTCAACTACAGAATCAAACACTAGCTACTAACTAGTACATTATTATATTTCTCCACCGACCGTTATAGATGCTAGTGTAATGGGTAACATTCTCTACAGTTGATCAACAATAGGTTAAGTTTTGAGTTTTTTACTACGCTAGAGTGTATATTTTGTAAAAATATCGTAAACTCAATATCTTTAGGTTAAGTTTTGAGTTTTTTTCTACGCTAAAGATTTTGTAAAAGTGTACCTGACGAGCGGAGGCAGATCGGTAAGTGAGCATGTGAGCGAGGGAAGGGATGATGTAGACGGTGAAGCTAACGAGAAGAGCACCAACAGCGGAATTGATTGGACCGAAGAAGGGGAAAATAATAGCTAAGAACCATATCGGTATAACCACAGGCAATCTTGCTAAAGCCCTTAAGCAGATGCTCTTTGTGTCATGCATCCCTATCACTTTCTCCCACACAAAGTAAAGCGGTGTACACGCGAACCCGAACGTTATAAACTGCAAGAACACATTATTTTCATTACCTTAATTAAAAAAACTTTATCAAAGTTTACAAAATTATGAGAAAGAAGTAAATGTTAAATATAAGGTTATTAATTTATACCTGGTGAATAAGCATGAGGATAACGGCGGCGTCACGCCACGCGTTCTTGGGGAGAAGAGAGAAAGCGTTGGAGTGGTCGAGAAGCGCGTCTCCGAAGGCCCAGTAAACGGCGGAAGCTGACGGAATCGTTAGTGTGAAAACGTATAACGTCGCCATCAAGTAAATGTACTTAAACTTCTGTGGTTTCCACATTGCATGCATTATCTCACTGCAATTCATATTTGGATCAAACAATTAAGATTCGTTTAAAAAAAAAAAACAGAAATGGATGAGGGTGTGTTTGACATTTCACGGAGATGTACTGTTATTAGTTATTACTACTAGTTGTGCTTGGGTGGCAAATAGTGTAGGGATAGATTTTAGTTTTTAGCTTTTTATTTATTAAAAGGTTAGGAGTATTTTTTATTTACATTTTATTACTATTTTAAGGAGTGAAAAATAATATAATGATAATAATCATCATGACCGTAATAATAGTTACACCTTATTTGCCGGCAAAAGCTGCAATGGAAGCGGCGAAGAAACGATACAGCACCCAGAATTTAATAATCTCCCACCAATTTATCTATCATATATTCATATACTACTATACTTTTCTGCCATTTTAACTTTAACTTAAATAGTGTATTCAACTATGTCTGACAGAATTTATTGATCTTTTTAGCTATAAAACAAATTAGATAGATTTAATAAATCAAAAGAAATAGATAAGAGAAATTAACTTACACAGTAACCGCGTGACCACCAAAGGTATACAAGATATTGGTAGCTCCGGTGAAATACAACACTAGCTTTGTTGGACCCGAGTGTTTCACACCTTCAGCCTAAAATTTTCAAAATTTACAGCAACAAAATCTTAATCATTTGATTTGATCAAACAGAATATCAAAAAGTGGTTCTACACTTTTAATGAAAAAAAAAGTTCTTCTTATCATAAATAAAATAAAAATTTGGGTTCAGATGCACGGAATAATTCCCTAATCTTAAAGAGAAAATACGAATTTTATTTCTTTTAGAATGAAGGCATATACTGTCACCTCATTGCAAAGCATAAAAATATGAAAACGACAGTGTAACAATCTTTAGATATTATTATATTTTTACCAACAAAAATATAAATATACCTGGCCGTGGATGATGGAGGCGATGGCCATGTACCAGGCGGTGTAAGTGGTCATACCCAAGCCGAGGAATGACCAAATTCGGTAATTATGAAACGACGGTATAAACACAGTGGTTGCACAACACGCGCCGAATATGTAAGTCCATGTTCTCTTGTCCAAGTGATCGTTTATGTAATAAATGTTACTGCAACACAACCAAACGTCCAAACCAAACATCAATTTTTTTTATAAATCATCCATTCATAATTTGTAGCACTAATGAGGGGAATTGATTTAAAAAAGAGATTTTAAAGACAGACCTGGCACAAGCAATGAGTTGGATTACAGATCCAAACAAGAGGAAAGTGCAATTAAAAGCGAGTCCTACTGCTTTCCAGTATGATCCGAGTAATCCATCAAGCACCTCAAACCACTGTTAATTAAACAAAAAATTAAGATAATTACGAGTGATTAATTGATGATGATTATAGAGTTAAAAAAAAAAAAAAAAAAAAAAAAAAAAAAAAAAAAAAAATTGTGTTAACCTGAATGACGTGGTTTTTGAAGCTTTTGCCTTCTTTCTCCTTACGAGCTCTGTATTCGACGTAGAGAACACTGATGAGGTAAGCAGTCCAGCTTCCGAGCAATCCGTAGAAGATCTGAAGCACTATTCCTGATAACATCCCTAATTGACTGAACGAGTACGGTAACGTCAGAAGCACTTGAGCCACCTGAAAAGAACAAAAAAAAAACAATAATCAGATCTCTCTTTCGAAATTTTCAAGATTCTTGATTT